GAGCTATTAGCATAAATCTACCAGCATTCTATTAACCAATCTGATTGGTTAAGCTACAAGTCACCTATTCCGTGACATATAGTGAGCAGACTGAGTAGCCTAACATGGTGTGGTTGTGAAAAATAAATACAAAATTAGTTAAAACATGACTCATCTTGATGTAAAGTTTTGAACATGGCATGATAGTTAGCTTTGCCCTCATCAATTACACATGTAAAGTGACAAGCTAGAGCTTATACATGTGCTCTAATTGTTAAATAGTGAAGGGATTACAGAGAGGCAGGTATGTTCACCAAGATGGTGGTTGAGTCTTCAGAGTTAACCCTTTAACTCCCAGAAGTGATTAACATGAAACTTCTCCCTAAAATATCCATAAATATATCTAGCAAATACGTAATGAGAATATTCAAATTTCTCAGATAAAAGTCACTTTCTTGATCTAACACCAAATTCTTGTACCTGATTTGCAAGGACATGTGCAGCAGCTAGTGGGGAGAATTAACATTAAGATCTTGGGGGTTAAAGGGTTAAATCATTTGTGACTACTGGGGTGTTGTTACAGCTGTACATGTACAACTGTAGTTCATCAAAAGTAACATCCCAGCAATTTGTCAGGTTTTCCAATTATTTTTTTCCAACATTTTTATACTCTTGGGTGGAAAGCAGACAGGTAGTGGGTGAGCTAAGTGTCTAGCCAAAGGGAATAACATAATGAAGTGGTCTTAGCTTTAACTTGATTCCTCCCTACATAGTTTACAGTGATAAGCATAGAACTATTACTCTTCCCTCTGCACTGATGTGCACATCAGTTTTTTTCCAGCAGATTTTCCCAATATCATATTTCCAATATTTTTCAGATTTTTCTAATATTTCACTACTTGTATAAGGTTTCAGTAACATGCGAGAAAACCAACATACCTGGGCTTCTTTTTGAACATTCTTTCACATAAGTTTTAAGTCCGTCTGATCTCAGGGGCTTAATTTCCCCTTGAACATCACTAATCTTAAAAACAACAGCCATGGAAATGTTTATTTTAAAAGACACACATCAAGAAGACAACAGGACTTACAGTGTCAAAATCACAGAGGTATACACTAATTGAAAAGATTATTGATCTACATGTACAGTATTACTTTGTTAAACAATTTAAATTGAGTCAAATAAGCCATGACAAATTCAGGCCTTCTACAGGAATCAGATCAGCAAAGATCCTTCAATACCATCCCTCCAGTACGTTGTATATACATGTAACTCAATTCATACACTAATTTAACCAACATGTTCAAGTATGTGTGTTGTTTTATCCCAGAATAGTTCATCACCATATTGCTTTTCATGATGAGATAACTTATCTTTCATACAGCAGCACTACTGTTTAACAATACCAGAATCTGGTAATGCATTTTATTTTTGTTTTTTTCTTCCCGTGTTGGTCTAGAATACTGACAGCAGTGAAATATATAACGTATGAACCAAGCCAAAAACCTAGAGTGACTTGGTCAGTCATATTTTTCCAAGCTTCACAAATTTTGCGTGTGTTTACAATTGGGTTCTCTCTAGCTTCTAGTAATTTAGCAATCTCAGTTGCTTTAATTGTTTTCTGGGTTTACTAAATCTAGATTTCAAGGCAGTCATTTGATAACCCTTTAACGCCCCTGAGTGACTTGGGATAAAATTTCTCCTCACAATACAATAAAAGATGAAACAAACAAGCAATGAGACTAAAGAAAAATATCAATTGGGGGACACCACTAAATTCTCAGAACTAACATTATAGGAGTGATATGGCAGACAGTAATGAGAATTACTAATGAGATCTTAAGGATCAAAGGGTTAAGTGTTCTGACTCTATGAAAAAAAACACAACAACAGAATAAAAGAAACTGAAAAATCTTACCACATCTTCTAAGCTTCCACACATTTTCCTCCTTTCCTCTTGCTTATCTGCCTCAATTCTACTCATGATAAGAACTTGCTGGTTTGAAAAAAAAATGAAACCACATCTGTTATACAGTGTTACATCTGGTTGGGTTGGCAAACAGAAGCAGAATTTCACTGTAGGAGATGCCACACCCTAAGATAAGCATTCTGTGCTCTTGAAAGATCTAATGTTTAGGGTCCAAACAAGGATGAATCTGCCTTGGTTTTGGGCAAGGTACTTCACTCTGCAATTGTCAGCCAGCTTTTGAGTACAAACGGGTACCAACACATTGTAGATAAAACTTGTGGAATATTTTAACAGTAAATGCACAAGAAGAATTCCTCCTATACCCATCCTCCCACAGAACAGGGATAGGATAAATTTCAAGAGAAACAAGCCCAAATGTTGGAAAGACTTAATTAATCCTACTTTACAATGAAAGCATAGTCATGGAAAAGCTAAAAGGAAAGTCAACACAAGAAGCTGAATGCCCAACGCCACAGCTTATCTCAGTTTTAACCAGCTTGAGGCAACTAAAACTACTACACTTTCACCCTCATTTTGTACTTCTACCCTCCAGTCCATGCCCCACAGCCCCCCCACCTCTTCCACTGTTTCCAGTTTTCCTGAAAGTTTTCTGGTTCCATTACAGTAGAGCATTTTGCCCATGTTCATGTTAATATTAACTGTTAGTACATAGCATCTACCACAAAAAAGGTCTCTGCTTACCCGTAACTCCTCTTCATCCCAATCACCATTCTCTTCACTACCACTACCTGTTGCTGAAAAGATTAAATTTACTGGACAGTCTATCAATTGACTTCAAATATTTAAAAATTATTCAATGAAGTGGGGGTAAACACATGTGGATATTCACCACGCCCTAGAGCAGCAAGTTAAATATCCACCACTTTCATCAGCACTGATGTGAATAATTCTATATACCATACAGACACCAGAAATTTAGTTTATTTCTTTCAATATACCAAAAAATGGTAAAAAATTTAACTCTCAACACGTGATTTTGTCTCATTGGCTGCTCGGAGGTGAATAGTACTTGCTATTCATTTCCAAACCAGCCAATAAGTTTGCCCAAAAGGCACTATTCACCTGTCTGGTATATACTAACAACAAATATATCCTGGGTTAAGGAAGGGGTAAGAGCAGCTGCCCAGTAGCTCAGATACTGAGACTGAACCAAAATTACAGTGGCACCAGTTCAAGCTTATATTCCTCCCTAGATTATATCAAAGAGTTTGCTATTAGAAAATTTAACCTGTTTCTTGTCTCTGTGAGTGTTTTTTATTTTGATTCATTTCTAGTGCAACTTTAGTGTTGAGAGGTTAAGTAATCTTACATGCTCATAAAGTATCACAATGGTAACCTCTTACTTAATTCAGCCTCTCGTTTTTGCCTCCTTGTCCTCAGTCTTGATGACCTGTTATTTCTCACAGTTTCTGCCACCTCTTGCTGCATTACAGAACAACAATAAGCAAAGAACAAAAACTGATAACTTATTCCATCAAACTAACAGTAAAAAAAAAAAATTCCTCACTGCTACACCTGGAACATGAGAAATGAGTCTTTATCTGTTTACTGTGAGAAAAACACAATTTTGACCAAACACATGAATGAATTTCATGCTATAATTTCAGTAGAGTGTACTAAGCTACCCTTGATGATTGGAATTTTAAGCTAAAAACTTGAATTAAATAATTGACACCATAAAAAATTTGCACCTGTGATTTCCTAACAAACTGATGTTAAGTTCCCACTAAACAGAACAAGGGCAAGTTTTTAGATATCATTGCTTACAATCCTAAAAGATACTCTACAAATATGGTAATTTTATATTCAAGGAGCTATTAAGACAAAAAAACATGCATCTGGGAAGTGATAGCACTACACTTACTGCTTCTGTTTAAGAATCCCCTCCTCAATAAGATAATGATATCCCCACCCCTCCCCTCTCAAACCACACTCAACATGCAGATTACAATTTTATTTATAATAGTAAAAGGACCAAGTGGAGTCCAATTCAGTCTGTAATCATACAAGTGATTAAAAACATGAGACGACCACAAAGCGAGAGTCTCATTTGTTTATTACGAGTATGATTACTGACAGAACTGGACGACAAGTAATCCTGTTACCAATTAATCATAACCATTTCAATTTCTAAAAATACAAATACACCTAGAAAAAATATCTCTGGTGGAGACAATGTCTTTAGTTAAATATTTCTCCATTTTGGAAATTGCCTTGTTTTTCTTTGGATAAGTGGTTGTTGCTATGGTTGTCTCGATCAATTCTATGATTGGTGGATTTAGCTGAGTGGACCTCATATGATTGGCTGCTTCAACTGTCCGATTACAGCCAATTGTCTAATTCCACTGTCCGATTACAACTGTACGGAATGATTAGTGAAAAATTAAGCAGCTGATGCACTAATCACATTTGAGGAAATTGTAATGGTTATGATTAATAGGAAAATCATAATTATCAGATTTTGAATGAAAATCAGTATCATTTACGACCAGAATAAATGTAGCCAATGTCCACTTTCAGCTTCAGAGGATGGTTAAAATAAAAGCAGAATTGTCGAGCCTAATTCAACCCCACTGACAACAACATTAAATTAACTATTTCATCCTTCACCACTAACCGTATTTATTTCCTCAATTTCATCGTCATCGATATCCTCGATCACGACTCTGCTCTTCGACCGAGCCCGACTGACGAAATTTCCCATGCCTCTTGCATATGATGAGCTGCTGGCTTCACGACGATTTTTATTCATAATTTCATCAATTTCCCAGCCATTCGCTCCTTACACAATCACTCAAATCAGTGAAAATTGTTTATAGAAGCCCAGGATTTACTTTACCGAGACGATACCGTTTCACTTAACCAGGAACAACGATACACACGAATCATATTCCGCCCTTCAAATCGGAAAAGAGATAACGATTTGCCTGGATGAAACCAAAATGGCGCGCGAAGCACCATGTGACTACCGCGAGAAGACTGGGCTCTAGGTCATTGATTCCTCAGTGGGCTCCTGAGGGGAGTTACAGTGGAACATGTCGAAGTTGAAGTTATGGTGTAAACGAAGATACAGCGACTTTGTAACTCGATCAAGAAACGCAGGAATTCTTTTAATTTATTACACAAATCTTTGGAGGTAAGCTTATAAGTACATTGGATTCGATCAGTAACAGTAACATTGTGATAATTAAAAGAGTTAAAGATAATCAGATCAAGGCAATTCATTTGGCTGAGTCCAAAATTTATGAATATCGATAAATAATTGTATGATCCAGTTTGAGACATAAGCATGATTCCTTAGTCTAATTACAGATGTAAGCTTTAAATTAGAACTACTAAATTACAGAAACTCTTTACGGTGACTAATTTACATTATCAACTCATCTGATAAAATCAAATTACTTTTTTATACCCCTACTGACGCAGCTTCTTTACAACCTTACCCACTTTGTGAATTTGAAACAGTCGGACTACCATTCCACTGGCTTTTTTGCACAAATTGTTATTGCTATGCGCTACCATGATTTGGTGTGGCTGTTGTGATGTCACATGAAAACAAACCGGCTTGAAAGCACATTGTAAACAAGGTATATCGGTAGATTGGTTGCTTAGAAGTTGTTCAGAATCCAATGACTCACAATGAACAGAGTCTATCTTGATTTAATTTCTTTAACATTAATATATTGATAATCCTTTCAGCTGAGATATTGGTTCATTGCAAGCACTTAAATGTACTCTTTAATAAAAGCATAGGATTAATTTGATTATCCATAATAAGATAAGCTGATGTTCTGTTCTCCATAGATACAACTCACAGAAGGCTTTAGAAGCCTTTCTCCATGGGCAACCACAGCAACAAGCGCCAGTACCTTTTATGGTAATTATCATGCTATGATATAGCATGATTGATAACAGTTTGGTATTTGGACTAATGCTCTAGGGAGGTTTGTCCTTGGAGGGGGGAGGGGGTGCCTCCAAGTAATAGGCTAATGGGGATATGCCCCTGGATGGAGTCAGATTTTCACAACAGGATTGACTATTATGGGGTTGCATTTTCAATAGACTGGAATGGAGTTGCACATTTTCGGAATTTTAGGGTAAAAAAATTCTGGCAAGGAGGGATTTAAAAAAAAACAGACAGTTATTAAGTTTGGGAACACATGAATTAAATTTGCCCAAAATTGAGTAAGTGTATACAATATAATAGGATATGGGTTCTGAAAGATTAGGGCACATACCCTACAAAAATTGACCCAAGTGCCCCCTTCGAAGTTGGAGAGTAACTCTGAAATCAGTGGCAGTGGAGATGTAGTATACACTGGCCTCTCAAACTCAAACAACTTAAAATTTTGAAGAATAATAAATGCATTTGCTTTGGGACAGGACTTCTCAGTGGAGTTGGCAGTTAAGGGGTTAAAAGACAGTGATTCTATCAGCACTAAGATGTAAACAAATGGGTGCTAAAGCTTTAGGAAAAATGTCCACCTTTTGATGTCTATTGACTCATTTCATTGGGGTATGAATGGTTTTCAAGAGCCAGAAAAGTGAACTAAGTAGAGTGTTAACCCTTTAACTCCCATGAGTGACCAAGAAATAATTTCTCCTTACAATACAATATCAACCAGATAAGTGATGAGAATAAAGAAAAATATCAACTTGGGGATAATTAGTTGATCCAATATTAAATTCTCTGAACTATCATTATAAGAATTGTACGATTGACAGTAAGGAGAATTACAAATTTGATCTGGGAGTTAAAGGGTTAACCCTTAAACCCCAAAGAGTAATTAGCATTAAATTTCTCCTTACAACATCAGCCCTGAGTCAAAGTAAACTCCAGTCCTGTGTTCACTAAAAAACCAACTTTTTATTCCAAACTTCAAGACATGTGTTGTTCCCAAGAGTAGGACACATGAACCCCTTTACGCAAGGTATCACCTGAACACATAGCTCATGTAAACAAAACAACTGTAAAATAACATGACAAACACACAGCTACGTCAAAATGATCCCCAATTATAGAATCTCTTGATTGTTAAACAAATTCTCCTCAGCAGCACTGTAGGAAATGTATTGTGAACAGTGTGGAGAATATACATACTGATGTTAGTGTAAGATAGCTTAAGTAACACCCATAGGGTCAAATGTTTCATAACTCCCAATATGGACAATTTGTTATTCGATGAAAAATGACGATACATTTTGTAAATTGCAATGGGTACTTCTTTCCAGTGGCATGACTGATGTGATTTTGAGGAGTCAAGAAACTTGGGGGTATGGTTTTGAAACTTTTACCAAAACTTGGTTGTTGCTATGTATAATTAAAGACTGGGATCTAACCAAGGTCAGGTTGAAAAGAGATTCTTTATTTACGCAACAAACTATAAGAAGAGGAACAAAAATGCAGCACTGTTGACGACAATCCTGTCTTCCTTTTTTTGTACAGGGTCTTAAATGGATGAGGGGCTGTTTCATTTTTATAACTATATTTCACAGATAATGTAGTCAGAAGCAATAAACTTTATCTTTCACATTTCACAAAAAAGGTGATGGCCAGTGGTATTAAAGAGTTAATTTGATTTTGAAACATTCTGTTCAAGGCAAACCCTCTCTCAGTGCCATCAAGTTCTGTCAGATAATAATTAATAATAATTATTAGACAAAAGAGGCTTCTTTTTTCTTTTATTTTTCTTCTCTTTTATCATCAGATCACCAGAAAGATGAGGAAATCACTTGCATCACTAGGTTACACTGAGCAAGACATTGATAGAATGACTCCCAGCGAAGCCAGTGATAAAGTTAGCTGTGGTGTACAAAACTCATCACAAGCATCAGGGACGAAGCAAGTTAAAACGGAGGACCAATCAAGAGATGTTAAATGACATATCATCTCGGCGAAGCCCTGGTTAAAGTTATTCAGAGGATCACATCAGATGCTACTTCAAATAAGTTACCTGAATAGCTTCAAGTAACTATTTCGTCCAAGTTGTTACCCTCGTCTTAGTTTTGGAGTATCGAGAAATTCAAAATAAAAGTTGGTGAAATTTCCGTGACCAGGAACCACTCTGGGCTGTGGAAAAAGAGAAAATGAATTAGAATTTGAATCTGAATTTTGCAATTTCTCTCATGTTGATCTAAGAAAGAACACTTTGAACGTAAACTAAAAGCCCTGTGATCATCAGCTTGATTAAAAGTTCATATCAAGGTAGGCCATCGTCACTGAGGTTTGAAGGGAACTTGAGTAAAATTTACAGAACTGCCATCAGCTTTGACAACGGGGCTTCGGTAATATAGAGAAACACAAAGAGGCCATATTGATCCAAGATGTGGAGAAAAGTGGATCGACTGAGGATCGGCTTGCAATTTACGAATATGCGCACAAGGAAAAATAATTCCCGCGAATGAGTACTCGTAGTAAACGCAGATAACTACGCTCATGTGCGGGGAAAAACAATCGACTGATTGGTCGAGGTTTTGCATTTGATTAGTTGAAAGAACAGTACGAATTTTCTAGACAAATCATAGAACTTTCCGAAAATATGCTTTGCATTCTCGATGATCGTGGTTCGCACCAAGAAAAGGGTTGTACATTCTTTAATGCCCTCTGCGTTCGATTGTAAAATCTCTCTCAGGAGTGAGAGAACGAATTTCGAAAATCTGTCAATTGGCGATCCAATTTATACAATGCATCTAATGAGTGTGAGAGATAATTACAATTTCGAATATGAGCTTGTATAAGTCGAAGACAAAGTTTTGTTGCAAAGTTAGTTTGTTGGAGGTTTCTTTTCTAATTTTTTTTTTTTTTTTTTTCGAAAACAACACGTGAGATAATCTGCTTTTATTAAATGATTCGATGAAGTAAATTGGCCTTCGCAGAGTTTCTTAAAGCTGACGTTTCGAGCGTTAGCTCTTCGTCAAAGCGAATGAGCTAACGTCCAGAACTTTGTCGCTCTGACGAAGCGCCAACCACTTGAAACGCCAGATTTAGACACTCTTTACAGTGGTCAGTTTACATAAATTATCGACAGTTGATGAAAGCAAATAATCTTCTTATACCCCCCACCGACACAGTACCCCAGTTTCTTTAGAAACTTACCCCGTTTAACTATATGATTTGTCAGTCTGGGTTGAAAGAGCGAAATTGGCCTTTAACTGCGAGAAAGCAGTGACACGATGGTTTCCCCGTAGATTTTTCATTAAGTTTGGTCAAACCGCGGCGCGTCTGACTCCGTGACCCCAATTTCTGTACAAGTTAAACGATTTCTGAATTTTGCGCAAGATTAGCCGTTTCCATAACATTGTACATCCTGTCATATTTAGCCTGTCTTTTCTCGGCTAGAGGTCAATGCATTTTGGAGCAAACTCCTATGGCAACAATTTTTTTTTAAAAGCAAAATTAATTCCGAGAGCATCACTAGGGATATCAGAAGTACAGTCGGTTCCAAAACAAAAAGCTGCAATCTTTTAAAAGAGAGGTATTCACAGTTACTATTTTGCTCTCAATAAACGAGACATTTTTGCATTTCCGATCACCCATGTTACTCATTTCCGATCGGGAGAGCGAGAATCTTCCTCTCTTTTTGACGTTTTTATGTCATTTCACGTTTCTTTCATTGTGCCCACGGGAAGCCATTGGATGTCACTAATGTTTTCAAAACACAAAGGCAGGGAATGAAAAATAAAGTTCAACTGAAGTAATCATATTTGAAAATTAATCAAAGAATCAGTTAATTTGTCAACGGGCCGTGTGAAAGACCGGATGAAATAAAATTTACTTGACTCGAGCTCACTTGAGGGCGACTATTTCACTTTTAATATACTCTCCAAATATAATTTTTAGCGCCATACGAGTTGTCTTCGTTGATATAATGCGGCACTTTTTTGACATATACTGAGTACTTCCAAGTGAATGCACGCAACTCTGTCTAGATAACGTCAGAGAGGTTTTTGTGCTCTAGAGAACATCTGCCCCCCGGAAATTATTATTAGGAGTACTGAAATACAGCTGAAACAGAGAAATGAACGATTTTTACTGAGAAACAAACTTTGTGTAAACAAGGTGGATGAACCCGAGAGACCGGATTAGACCATAGTTAGACTATTGTTGTGTTTTATTGTGTTATATTATTGATGTTTGTGTGGGCTAAACCTTTAGGTTTATATATGTTGAATAAAAGTTTCATCGTGTGCTCCACGGTATTTATATATCTTAGGGACAACCGACGTTTACGAGAATGAACGCGCCTCGTGATCTTTTGTGGAAGGAAAAGAAAGCTGAAAAGTTTGCGTTCCTTGTGTAAACAAGTTCAATGTAATATTGCAGCAAAGGATAACCTGACTAATGTTATTTACACTCTGTTTTCTGATCGCTAAGCGGATCTTTCTTTCTAGAAATAGCTGTAAAAAACATAAATGAATTAATTAACGCCACGTTTTCTCCGGTAGGTCGGGTCGATATGGATAAAAATTCCGCCTCGTTTTTTACTGTCTGATCCTGTACGACCTCTTTGAAGCCTCCATCCTCACCTCATTTTCACGAGGTTTGCGACATTCGTTTAATTCGATTTAATGACAGATAGGGTAGAAGAGTACATTGACACTTCAGAATGTTCCCGACTCCTTTTCAAACTGCCGCTCACTAATATAACTTTTCTCGCTGATGATGAAATCCAGAGGAATTGAATCTGACAAATTCCATCGCAAATCGCACTTGAAGACAACTTCATCTTCATCCCGCAGTTGATTATCGCGCTTGATTATCTCTCACCCGAGAGGGTAATTTTGCATTTGGCCGACAGAGTTCTTAGGGCAGAACAAACCTCTAAAGCCTTTCCGGTAATTCTCGCTTTGAAAAGCATATAGTACAGGATTTAGAGAACTGTTGGCAACAATGAGAAAGCTTAAAACTTTCAGCACTTCTACGTTACTTTCATTCTCTGTATACTCTTTAGCTAAGCGGTTTGTGAAAGCGACGTGCAGCATACATATCGCAAAAGGCAAAAATAAGATATAAAACACAACTGTTACAGCAATAATGAGAACGGCAAGTTTTCGTTTCTCCGAATTCACGTTTGCTGGTCCTGCGCAAATGGTTTGAGTGATAAACATTCCTCGCAATATCTGACAGTAACAATATGTGATGACTAGGAACGGTATGAAGATGTACAAACTGACTGCAATTACAACATAAGTTTTGTCGCTACCAACGTCCACTTCAGGTCCCAAGGGTGAAACACATTTTCCACGATTGCCATCGACGTGAGTGAAAATAAAGTCTGGAATACTTATAAGTAAAGAAGCAATCCAAGTTGTAGCAATAGCGTACATCACACTCTTCTTGTTAAGCTTATATTTGGTGCTTAGGGGTGTTACGAGCGCTTGATACCGCTCTACAGCTAGTACAGTCAGTGTAAATAATGTAACTCCAAGACATAAAATATCCATTGGATCAGCAATAAAAAATCTGCACAAGTAGTCGCCTGTTATGCCTTTGGGAAGCGATCCAGTGACAACGAAATCGTAAGTGCGAGGACACCATAACAAAACGAGAATATCGCTAGACGCCAAGTTCACAAGCAGATAGTTCGTAGCCGTGTGCATTGTGCGCGTTTTCCAAACCACGGCAATGACAAGCGAATTGCCGAAAATACCCGCTATTATAACAACGCCATATAGGACCGCCAACACAATATCATACCGCGAAATACGCTGAAAGTCCTGTCGCGAATCCTCCATGCTCAACTATAGTTCGCAATATTGGTCTTGTTTCACAACGACTGGCCTGTTGTGTGGATGTGACGTGACCCGAAAAACGAGGTTATTCCGCGACATACGGAACGGAAACTAACCTTAATTCGTCGGATGTCATTAAGATGATAATTGAAGAGTGTGCTTAACGAATGGTTGGAGTTGAAATTTGAATTTTTATGACATTAATAACTGCGGGAAAAAAAATTAAATAAAACTCCACTGTTTTTCCTCTGACAAAAGGCATTATTGATATAGCATGAAGCCTTTGCGGGGGATGATCGAATATTTGAATTCGTTAAAGTTATAATTTACATCGCTATCCGCCGTTGATCAAAACCCAAAACATCTTTTGCTTGCAATTTATGTACCAGTGAAAGAAAACCTTCAAATTTCCATATTTGCCAATCCGTGCTGAAAAGAAAAAATGTTTTTGTACAACACTAGTGCATTGAATGGCAGACATTAACTGACAGAGCAAAATGAGAAAAACAGGAAAAACAAACTTAATTTTCGAGAGAAGTTATCGAATACTCGAATCAAGATAGTTATTAATACAACTGCAACAGCTGTATTCTGATGTTTCTCTCCTCAGACTAAGCTGTTCTCAAATTCCCCGAAAAACTGTCAACGAAGGTTAAAATTATTTGATTTGCATTTGACAGCCATGCTGAAAGTTTGACACCTTCATGCTCTGAAAGGTGAATACTGTCTAAGAGACAGCAGCAGAGATGAATTTTAGTGGAAAATTGAAGTAATAGAAAATTAAAGAAACAAAATGAACGAAGTAATGACGACACGTATTGGTTTCATGACGTATGTTTTGCAATCTGTTTATGGGCCTATAAATACTTGGAATTTAAAGTGTCACAACCTTCAAATTAGAATTTTCCTTTATCGTAATTTCATATCTTTCTTGTCACAGTTTCCCTCAATTGGATGCGCCTTATTGCACTAAAGTTGTCGCAGAAAAAGCAAAAAAAACTGACTAGGAATTTGTTAGCATATAAAACTACCTTCCGGCTACAAGCCCGCCAGCCGAACAAAATTCGCAGAATTACCACTGAAAATTATTTCAAAATTCTTGAGAGAATTAGATGTTGTTTGAAAGTTAATATTTCAAGCGATTCCAAAACTGAAAAATAATATAAAAATTATATCTATATATATGCTAATGCAATATGAATATGCTATGTGCTAATTAATTCGAATTGTTGTTTTCCCCTTCTTTTTACTCTTTTCTATGACAACGTTTCTGAAACACGGTATACATAATGAGTATCCAGAGAAATGTTAAAATATTCACTGCATTGAGTACTTGGCCTCCCATTACTGACCAAGAAAAATTTTTTAAATATTGAACTGCAGTCTGGTGCGTTCTCCCTTCAAGTGTCATTTCACAATCCCTCGGAGATAAACCAACAAAAATCACAAAAGCACATCAAAAATAGATCAGGAAAATTCAAGTGTCATTTCACAATCCCTCGGAGATAAACCAACAAAAATCACAAAAGCACATCAAAAATAGATCAGGAAAATGTTTGTTTTATTGGATGTAAGAAATTTTGTTGAAACACCTGGAGAGTTGAGCCGTTGATAACTTTCCGTCAAAAATAATCCGGATGAATTAGAAAGGGCATCTTCCAATTCTTTGTTTCCTTCCACAAGCCCGGTCTAATGCCACATCAATCCGAGATATAGAGCAGTACCAGGTCCCCACGGCTTGAATGGGTAAAAAATAACACCTCTCACAATGCTACGGTAACGGATGTTGACGCAATTCCTATCTGATTCCGTTCAGGAGCGAAAAATGCAAAATATCAACGAGGTGTTTGTACTCTCGTTTTATTTCAGCTGCGAACATAACATCGAAGGCATCTCTGCTACCTATCATTTTTGTTAATGTGAACTGTTTATTTTACAAAACCTGAAGAAAAACTAGTATCGTAACTATGTTTATGATATCATTAATATAAGCTTTTCTTACAAATTAATTCGAATATTCACCACTTCGAATGAAAAGCGTATATAGTTTACTTGCAGTCTACAATACACCGGATGTACACACTGAGCCAGTTTCTGTGCCCCCGCACTGGTACGAAAGGATGAAGTTTTCCGTGCGTAAACTGGGAAGGAGCGTCTTCAGCCGTTCCCAGACAACGGCAAGTTCTTAGAACGAGTGGGAGGTTGTAGGCTTCGATTAAGAAAATGGGAAGTATAGGGATGAAGTATCATTGATACGTGGAAAGCAGTTAGTCTCAAATTCCCTCGGGTGAATCCTGTGAATGCAACTTTGTTTTCTTTCGTGTCAATAACGAGAGAGGTTCAATTCAAGAGACTGTATCCACCATGTACGTCTTTTTTTTAAGAGACTCCCTCTTGTGGTATTTTTAAACTAAGGTTATCGGGTCTGCTAGGAATATGTTAAACAATTTTTCTTCATTGGGCGTGTTTAAAGTTTAAGTTACAGATAAATAGCACTCCTTATAGGATGACCATTTGAGCAAAACTTGCGACGTAGGATTAGTTTTTCTAGATTCTTCGGGAATCGTAAGAAGCAAAGTGATCCAAACAAAGCCTAACAGAACCTTCGAAATAAGACCCTTACGAAAAGGGACCTAAGGAATAGGACCCTTAGGAAAAAAGACCTTGGAAATAAGGACCTCAAGGATAAGATCCTTAGAATAAATAGCTTTGAAGCAAGTTCTATATGTTGAAGGTTCTGTCGCTTAATTTAATCCTCTAATCCTCTCTTAGCTGGTGGTGACGACTGAAAGAAATATAAACGAATTTTTCTCAACACAGAGACAACAGGAACCATATTTGCATGGCGTTCGACTGTCTTAAAGCCGGAAAAAGCAGCATTCTCTGTTCCCAGAGGAAAAACTTCGTAACAGTTTTCTCAATTTGTTCTAATGTTGTTTTGAAAATTGTTTACGGTCTCCATATTTACATATGTATCATTTTCCTTACAAAAAGCCTTTTCTCTCTGCATTCACCGATAGATTTGCCACATTACGCCAAAGCATTCGATATTACAAACAGAAGGAACACTCCAAAGGATGCAGAAGTTGCCGATGAGGTAGAGTTCTTTGTTACTGCCAGATTTTTCACATCATCCGCTGAAAATACATGTGGACAATTAGTGGAGGAAATTGATTGACTAAAGATTGTATACGTCACACAGGTCAATAGTACTTTTCGTACGTGCTAACTGGCTGGTTCGGAAGTGACTAGCAAGTATTTTTAACGTCCGAGGAGCCGAAGTGACAAAAACGCGCCGCAAGAGTTTAATTTCTGGCCATTTTTCGGTATATTGACAGAAACAAACTACTATTTTTAGCGCCTGTGTAGTATATTCTAAAACAAGTTAACACCTCAGTGTCGGTGAAAGTGTTGGATGTTTACCTCCACTTCGGTAGATATCCACCACTATTCACCTCCACTCAGTCGGTAAATATTGCAAGTAAAGTAAGAGTTAACGCATAAATGTTTTTTAAAAAGGGCCACAAGAAATAAAACTGCTTTCTCCTCAGTCTAACCTACACCAATCAGTTGAACGGCACGTATTTAAGCCTTTTAAAGAAGCCTTTACAAACAAAATGTCTGCAGCAAGCGCTCACACCAACCTGTGAAGTTCACAGTTATTACTGTTGGTTTTCCTATACCCAGTTTGTTCACTGCTCTTGTTCGGAATGTGTATGTTTCTGATTTATCAACTTGAAACGTGTATTCCGTGTTTTTAACAGAATCTTTCTCCGCACTGCTCCATTCTTTTCTCACGGTTTTGTATTCAACGTGGTAATGTGTGATTGCCGCACCGCCATCATATCTTGGAGGTTTCCACATCACTTTGATTTTTGGTTTGTTCTGCTTGTCAATGAACGCTTCTTTTTTGACCAGATCTTGGGGTTGATCCGGTTTTTCTGTGAAACATAGGACAAAGCAAATCTTCAAATGTGAAAGTTAAAGAGTCATTGCAGTTTTGATGGGACAACTGTAACCGAAGTAAAGGAAATAAGCGAACGGCTGAAGGCCATAACACGCACCAAATTTCTATCGTTAAACATATTTCTTTCATAAAATCCTTTGAGATTTCAAAGCTACCCTTCAATGAAGCAAAAAAAAAACAAAAAAAAAAATGAAGATCAGACGCCCTACCCGTGATAACTTCTAAATGTTGCTCTCAGTGTTCAGAATTACAAGTTGTTCATTCACAATTGAATTTAGAGGACATTCCTGACCTAGCTGCTGGAGGATGCGAATAATGGTGAAAAATTCGAGTAATAGACAATAAAACAATGGATAGCGTTAAAGGTGCGCTCTGATTGGCTATTCAAACTCCGAATATTCTTTGCTATTTACCTAAGAGCAACATGCGCGGGATTTGCGCCCGAAGATATTGTAATCGATGTAGGAATAAATGATTTAAAATCATTTTTTTGTGCCTTACTATCTCACTGTTTTAGCACATACTAAAACAAGTATACTTCAGTGTCGCTGGCTAGGTTCGCGGCGCGGTAAATATCCACTAGCCATCTCTATTTCGGTAAATAATTGTTAATAATTTTATCTGATGGAGAAATTTAATGAAAGCATACCTCCAAAATGAACTATCAAAATGTTCGAGGCTTTTTCTAGTCCAAATTTATTTCTGGCCGTCACTCGTACTTCATACACGTAAGCCTCGCGGGTTTTACTGATCCACATGTAAGTGTTGTTGGTTTTCAGCACTGTGGCAGAATTCCAAGACGATTCAAGTTCTTTGTACTCAAGTGAATACTGTACCAGAGGAGCACCACCGTCCTCTTCAGGGGGACTCCAAGTTACCCATACATCATAGGGGCCCTGCTCTTTGGGAACTAATTTGCTGGTCAGGTTGAGAGGCGCGGTTAGTGATTCTAATGAAATAAATTCAAGGCAAGATCCAAGCTTAAAAATATTGTGAGTTGTAACAGCTGTGCACTCACCAGCCTTTATCATGACAGCTTGGGAAGATTACATATTGCACAAAATTTGACCCGTCTTTTCTTGGCTGGGTAAGCTGAAGTGTATATGTGTGAGAAAAAGTTGTGCATGTTCGAGTTACCCTACCTGCCGAGGCGAGACAACTTGACCTTTCGAGTTGTGCGCAATTTTTATTCTGTTCGGCGTCTCACTGAAATCGCTTTCGTGCTTTCGGGAAAGTCCTTAAAAGCAATCGTTGCCCCCCTACTTAGAATCTTTTAGATGACAGCTCTCAAGCAAGTCTGTAGGGCAGTTTTCTAGTGAGAAACCTTCATTGGTGACATCGTGTCATAACCGTAGAGGACTTTGTAAAACTGAAATACTCACTGAAAAATGAAAGCAAGACTGTGCGGGATCGAAACCCTTGACCAACTCTGTTGATCGCTCTAACATCCACGTGCACCTCACGTGGAAATTCACTTTGAAGTTTGCAAATCACGTGCTCTGTGCAGCGATTAATGGTCTTGCTGACGAAAACTTGGCTAGTGAAAAAGGGATGTTTATATTCCACGACGAAACCAGTTAAGGGAGTTCCTCCATCATCCTCCGGTGGCTCCCAGGTGAGCCTGCTGTACATGGGGCACTCGGTTTCATTGCTTGGAAAGTCATATGCTGTGACATTGATGGGTTCTCGCGGCTTATCTGAGGAAAAGTAAGTTTAATTTATCAAATGATTTGTCTCTCAACTGAGATAATTCAAACGAAATAATGAAAGGACAAATAATTGATTGTATTTTGAACTACTGAATTACTGAATTACTGATTGATTGAAATAATGACTCCTAATAATTGGAGCAGTCGTAAAACCAAAATCAAAGTAATGACAACTGCCAATCATAATTAAGGTTTTATTTACCAAGCTGAATTATCCACACATTTTGATTGGTTGTTACTTATGATCTATTAATGGACAGACGCATAAATGACGTAATCGTTAACAAATTTTGCTTCCTCATTGCATAAAACAAATAGATTCCAATTTATTTGCAACGCGTATTATTTTAAATTCAAAAATAAGCAGAAGACACTGAAATGCACTTACATAGCTGTTTCATGCCAATATCAAACCGCTGAGTTGAAGTCCTTGACTTAGCGATGCATGTCACAGGCTCGAAATCCCGGTCAACATTCGTCTCTATTGTCATTTGACTTTGGTCTTTCCAAGGATCCGGTTTTCCTTTCCAATAAACCTGTTTTCCAATGACTTGCGTATTGTCTGACCATCTCCAGTCAAAGTCCACAGGTAACCCAGGCGATGCTTTAGTGACGATGCAGATGAGAGAAACCTTGTGCCCTATCCATGACTCCACCAGCTGAGTGGAGTTTTGACGATCAGTAATAATGTCTAAATAAGGAAATCGCGAGTTCGTTTCAGTACTACAACAATCAGGGTACCTAGGTAGGTACCACTAATCATTTATTACTTGGGGGGG